AAATTAAACACTATCTAAAGATTTGCATCGAAGCGTTTTTTTTTTATAGTGATTTTAATCACTGTCAGATATCATTATACTTGATCCAACTATACCACGTCACAACTGTGCCGCGACCCCCCTGTGCTGGGTTTTTTTTTTTAACTTTATAATGCTATAACATATTGAAAAGTGTATGGATCAACATAATTTTTTTATGAGAAATAATATTTTTTAATAATCTCTCTTTCATTCGATATACTTTATCTGAATCAGGATATTAATAACGAATTAGCAGATCATGTTTCTTTTGGTATAATCCACCTATTTTTTTAAATTAAACACTATCTAAAGATTTGCATCGAAGCGTTTTTTTTTTATAGTGATTTTAATCACTGTCAGATATCATTATACTTGATTCGATTATGCCTCGTCACCACTGTGCCGCGACCACTCTGTACTGGGTTTTTTTAGACTTGATCATATTAATATAACTTATTGACATATAGAATTTTTATTTTCATTTTTGTATTAATGTTTACTGTTATTGTTATAATTTTATAATTTTATAATTAATAAAAAGGTTTCAATTGTAACTTACATTAAGTTGTAACTAAATAAATGAAGAATAAAAGGAACACGAAAGCAGTCTATTTCAGTAAATTTTTCAGGAAAGCAATAGGAAGTTTTTATCCTTTTGTTAATAAAACAAAAATAGATGTTCTAATATTAGCAAAATTAAAACATTATCCACCTGATAAGATTTCATTACTATAGGAGATATTGCTCCTTATTAGATACCAATTCAAATTATAAGATTAAAATCGGTAAACTACTAATATGGACGACTGACTTTCAGCTTCAATGGGAAGCTGAGAATGTACTTTTTCCTGTTTCCATAAAATATTTTTCTATTATAAATAATTATAAATTCTAGTATTTACAATTTTATTATACTATCAATGGTATAAAAAAGTTGTAACATATTTATTTAAAAAAAACCCTTTTGCAAATAATCAAGCAGTACTAAAAATCCCCACAAAAAAATTAGTGATGGATGAGGTAAGTTTACATCCTTAAATTAAACTAAAAATAAATTTAACATGCCTTTAAGTTATAAGGGATGATTCTAAAAAGTAACTATTAGTTGNATAAATTTAACATGCCTTTAAGTTATAAGGGATGATTCTAAAAAGTAACTATTAGTTGATCAATCAAGAAATATATGCTTAAAAATATTTAAAATGTTTTCCAATGTTAAAAACATTGTATTTATTTTTTTAGTAATCGAGTAGTCATAAACCACTTGATAACTTGCAAAATAAATAAGTCACCACCACTCCGTTATCTAAATAGTTGTAATAATAAGCACTAACTATTAGGCAATTATTTTATATAAATATATAGAAATTTCATATACAAATCCACAATCAATATTATTCATTTTATTTTTATTAAAAAATCCTCACTAGTACAATCCTAATTTAAATAGAACGTGTACTTTTAAATAATTATGACTGATTTTTTTGACAATACATCGTTGGGAAATGACAGGATAAATTTTTATTTTCAAACAAAAATTCAATAATGAAGCGTATTTTGTTTAGTTATTCAAACATTCTATATATTAAATTAAAAATAATAAGAATAATGCTTTGAACACATATTAGTACTCTATTCACATTTATGTAATTATACAAATGTCCGACCGTGATTTACTAATTTGACTATATAAACTACTGTTAAAATTAGTAAATCACGTTGGTACACTATATATGTATGTACAAATAATTGAGATAAATAATTGGTTTTTATCAAAACTAAAAAACCCAGCACAGGGCGGTCGTGGCATAGTTGGATCAAGTATAATGATATCTGACAGTGATTAAAATCACTATAAAAAAAAAACACTTCGATGCAAACCTTTAGATAGTGTTAAATTTTAAAAAATTATTTAAATTTTTTCAAAATTATTCCAAAAGCTACATGATCTGCTAGTTCCTTATTAATATCCTGATTAAGATAAAATATGTCAAATGAAAAAGGGAATATTAAAAAATATTATTTCTCAAAAAAAAATTATGTTGATCCATACATTTTTCAAAAAGTTATAGCATAATAAAGTTAAAAATGTAAAATAAAAATCGAAAATTTTCACACAAAAATAGCATTCGGTAGCCATTTTCACCGTGAAGATAAAATAAAGTCCGAAATTTTTTTTTTGCATAATAAAGTATATTAGCTTCTTTGCGAATCTGAGAAGGTATTATTTTACTATGATGTGTTTTTTTTTTGTCTGTTACCGCTTTTTCTCAGCACTCACCGAACCAATTTCTTTCAACGATACTTAAAAAGATCACAAATGATATCTAGTCAAAGACATTACCATCAAAAATTGAAAAAATTTCCTTCGTTTCCCGTAAATGAGGGATCCCTTCAAAAAATGTACGTATCATTTAATATATTTTTTTTATAAATTAACCCTTTACCACAGGGGGGATTTAAAATGACTTTTTCACAAAAAATTAATTTTTTCAACTTGACATTTGAAAATGTTCCGGAAGGATTGACACTTATATATATATATATATATATCTTAAATTAAAGTTAATGTAATATACTTTATCATGAAAAAAAAAATTTCGGACTTTATTTTATCTTCACGGTGAAAATGGCTACCGAATGCTATTATTGTGTGAAAATTCTCGATTTTATTTTTTACATTTTTAACCTTATAATGCTATAACATTTTGAGAGATGTATGGATCAACATTTACATTAACAATTTTGTTGAGTTATTCTGATAAGTTGGAATAAAAAATATTTAAAAGGAGAATTAGATCTGATGACTTTGTAAGATATCCTTTTGAATAACTATTAGGTTTATTTTTTAAGAAACTAAGTTAGTTCAATTAATGTTATGCAAATTATTTTATATATAGAAATTTCATATTCAAATAATGAATAATCTAATTCTCTTTATATGATTTGTAATCCAATATTCTCCCTAGTACTCCACTAATTTGACTAAGACTTAAAATCTCAAATGATTTTTATTAGAGATGTTTTTCTTAAGCTATTTTATTAAAAGATAAAAAAATTGATTTATTAATTAACAATTTAATTCAAATCATATTCCATAAAACCAACACGTGACTCAATTTAAATTATTCTCGAAAAATCTTTCATTTTAGTCAGTTTGGATAATGTATTTTTATATTATCATAAAAATGTCGCAAATATTAATATATTTGTATAAATCCAAAAAGATCTTGCTCCATTGTCAAATTGCCTTGCTTTCCAATGTGTTACAATTTTGTCATTAATATTTTCGATAATAATAATTTATTTTAATAAGATTGTTTGCGCAATTGTATATATTAATTTTACTAAAATAATAAGTTCATAGTTTAAGTTGAAGTCAGAATCACCTGATTCAAAAGAGAAAATTTTAGTGTGCAGTTTATTACTATTTCTGAAAAATTCTAAGTTAAAAAAAAATGGTATGTTATAATTAATTTAATGCGCCATGATTAAAAATTTTATTGTATTCAATTTTTTTTAGACGATGCTCATTTTATTCGTTATTTTATTATTTTCCTGCTTTTTTTATGTACCAGAAGGTAATTCTAACATATAATAAATATTATACTTTTTCAAATCAATTAATTTTATACTCTTATATGGTTAAACAATTTTATTACAATCATCTTTCAATAGAAAGGTGAAAATAAGATACAAAAATTTAATCATTAGAAATGACAAACAAAATTAATTTTCCTTTAAATTTTTACTTGATTTTCTTTAAATAATAATTATATTTTTGAAGTGAAACTTCTTTATACAGGGTCCGAAAAAAAACAGATTATCGAGTGTTACGGTAGGCCACGTTCGTCATCATGGCCGGCCACTGTCGGCATCTTATAATAAATACTATATTGGTCAATAATAATAAATTTAATTCATTTCAATTGAAAATAAAATTTTTAAGTAAATTTTTTTTATTTTATCTCAATACAAAACCTAATATTTTATCAGCTAATTGGTTCTGAATGAAGTTTCACTTCATTTACCTCGTAACACGCACTGGTTTGTTTTTTTATTATACTTATATAAAAATGTGAAAATCAATTTGTATTTCAATGAACTGTTACAGTTTTAATTTTACGAGTGCAACCCAATTTATAAATAAAAAACCGATGTGTAACCGTGACGTTAGAACTAAAGTTTTCTTATTATTATTTTGTATTATGATTTTATTTCATTAATTCATTAATAAAACTAAATATACAGTATGATTTATTAAATATAGAGTGATCTGTTAAGTATGTGTCATGCAATATTTAAAAATATACATTTTTTTGTTTTTAATCATGGACCTTAATGAACTGTTTCACAAGAAAAATAAAATTTCTACGACCATCCCCAATACTTAAAACTTGTATCATCATATAAAAATAATCGTAGGTTATCATTTAACTTTCGGAAGTAAACCATATAAAATACACACAATTTTTTTTTACAATATACTTGATATTAAAAGAGTTTTTAAGACTAAATTATATTTTATATACACATTTCAACAACAAATGATTACTTAACGGAAAAATAGATAGTAGTATATTTAATAAATCACACTATAAACAATTGCATTTTATAACATATTTTTCATAAAAAAAAAAAAAAATTTTGAATTTCCATAATTTTATGAAGGCAATTTAATTTTTTTCAAAAGTAAATAAATTGTTTATAGCTACAAAACATATTTCGGTCCAAGTGAGACCGAGATTGAGTGTTCACAAACACAAAAAAAAATTAATACCTTCTCAGCTTCGCATCGAAGATAAAAAAGCCATTTTCAAAAATGTCTAAAAAAAACCCTTTTGTAAATAGACAAATCAAATAATAATGTTATATTGATGAACATTAAAATTTATTTATTTATTTTGTTAACATTATATGGAACAGGTAGCACAAGTGGTAAGATATTTAATTATACCTAATTAATTTTTAGTATTATATAATATATTTTTTTCCTTGTAGAAAAGGGTTAAGAATATGGGTGGTTCAAATTATTATTCACCTGAAAAGAGTGGCTGGGGTGGTCGGGGCTTCTCGTACACAGGGCGGTGGCACAAGGGATACTGTTGAGCACGTATGTTTTGATGTGTCTAGCCGGGGACATGGTGGTGATTTTTATGGCTTGATTTAAATATTCAAACATTTATTTGTATTATGATAGAACATATTTTCTAAGTTTACTTTGACATGAAATATAATTTTTATAAATTTTTTTCTTTGAATAATAATAACAGCGTTAATTATTTAATTAAAAACTTAGTTACGCCCCTAAAGGCAATGATGTTTATATTTTTATATATATTACATTTAATTAGATATATTACATTAGGGTGCCCCTTATTTATAAAATTCAAAAATTACAAAGTGCCACCCCCTATAATTACTCGAATACATGAAAAAATAAATTGTACAAAATTTGGAGACAATTGGTCGACTCTAAGACGTGCCCCAAAGGGGTTAAAAATAACCCACCAAGGGTGATTTTTTAGTTTTTTATTTGTCTATCTCAAAAACTTTAGCTTTTGTGAAAAAGTTTATTTGGATTTTTTTTGTAGGTATACAACTTTTATACAAAAAGTATATTAACAAAAATTTTCGAAAAGTTCTTATTTAGCCCTAAAAACGTATATGTTCTATTCTTACCGTTAAAATTATTAATTTATAAATCGTTCATTGTAAAAACAAAAAAAAATTCATTGAACCGTTGTTTTAAATTTGATTTTCTATACATTTTTAATTCTACATTTTTTCTATTATTTACTATTCAAAACCTACAATTTTTTTAATTTTAAATTTAAAAAAAAACACATCAGAGTAAAATTAATACCGTCTCAGCTTCACATTGAAGCTAAAATAATGTTAACTTACAAATTTATATACTATCAGAAACTATTTACAAAAAAAAACTTACTAAAAAATTTACTACATATTTCAAATAATTTATCTTTTTTAAAATTCTTAGCATAATGTGCTTTTATTGCAATTATAAAAACAACACTGGTATTATGTAACAATTTGTAATAGGTATTGTTTTTGTGCTTCGTCTTTTGTTTTGTTTTCTTTTGGCGGTTGTGTTTTAGGTGCCTGTTTTTTTAATGAAAATATACATATTAAACTAGCAAATAAATAAAAAATTATCTAATTAAGAAAATGACTGATTGAAAATAATTTTTGTATTAGTACTTTGGACTTAATTAAAAATTTTAAATTTAGAAAGGAGGAAGAGAGTGGCAGAGTAATGCCAAATGATGAAAAAAAACCCACACTTCACCCTTACTCTATTTTTATAATAGTTAGAACTTCAGTAATCACTGAAGTGTACAACCAATACATAACTCTTGGTTTAGGACGCCATGTCTTTCTCAAGGTTTTGCTGCAAGTCCACAATGTGGTCATTGCCTTTTTGATTCTTGACTCAACATGTGATTTCTATTTTAGCTTACTATCTAAGATAATTACTAAGTATTTTACGTACGATTTTAAGCTAATTTCTTGTCCATTCAGAGTAAGAGTGTCAAGATTGTCTAGTCCTGCTCTCCTTCTAGTGAATATAACGACCTCTGCTTTACTTTTGCTTTATTTATTGCTTTATTATAACCATGTATAGTGTTTAGCCTCTGTTGTGCTAAGTCTATAATAGTGTCTGGGAATTTACCCACCACTGCTATAACTAAGTCATCCGCATAGGCTTGTGTATAACAGTATTTGTTTAACTCTTTATTAAGTGAGTCCAATACTAGACACCATAGCAAGGGGAATAGAACCCCGCCTTGTGAGCATCCCTGTTTAATACTCTTGATTACTTTGGTTTCATTGAGCTGTCTCATAATGGAGCGTTCCTTAAGCATGGTTTCTATCCACTTAATAATAAGTGGTTCTATTCCATGCTGTTGTGCAGGTCCACACATAGAATTGAAGGGAGTATATGTCCAGGAATATACCTACTGCATAAATTTTATGCTCCACAGCTTTCTCTATCTTAGTCGTTAGGCAGTGTGAAGCTGTGTCAGTAGATTTCCCCGTTTTGATACGCATGTTGACTTTCATGTAAAGGGTGATCCTTTAAAGGCCCCTCATTAATGTACCTATCAATAAGTTTCTCCATAGTCTTAAGGAGAAATGAAGTAAGACTTATTGGCTTGTAGGATTTTACTTTATATAGTTAGTCCGTTTAGGTTTGGGTATAAACACTGACATTTCGTCAGCTTTTCGGTTCATAACCATAGACAAGGCATGCCCTAATTATTTTGCAGAAATGGGGATGATTAACTCTAACTCTTTTTGCAGACGTACAGGGAAAATTTCGTCACAGCCTGCAGTTTTGAAACTGCCAAAGGCTTTTATTGCCCATGTTATTCCACTTTGGGTTATCACTTTTCTGGTTAGTTTCCAATCAGCTCAAGTCACACGTTTTTCCTGTGCATCATATGACTGTTCTTTGTTATTAATTATAGAGTCAGGAAAATGTGTGTTCATCAAATATGATAATGTTTCATTATTGTTATTGGTAAAATGCCGTCTGGCAGTAGTATTGCCTCGACAGTTTTGTTTAATCCATTTCTTAATGATCGCAAAAATCTAGTTGCTATAGGGAGTTATTGTATATCCCCACTTCCAGCTTTCTATTTTGGTCTTTTTCAATGCAGATTTTTAGTTCCTTTGGGCATCATTATAGGATTCCCAGAATTGTTCCAAATCTGATGTCATTGCTTTATTTAAGAGCTTACGTGAGCTCTTTATTAATTTAGATAGGTTAGCATTCTACTAAGCTACACACTGTCCTGTACCTTTCCTTTCTATTAAAAGACAGTTTTCTTTGTAAACTAGACAATGGAGTCCTGTAATCTATTTACAGCCCTTTCAGTGTTCTATCTCGATCCCAATCTAAACTGTAGGTTATTGAGGTCAAGAGAAATATCTGCCCTGTAGTTGACCTAGTTTGTTCTTTTTGAGTTCCTATAGTACTCTGTCTCAACTTTGTTAATTTTCAAAGTGAATCGTAAGTGCCTATGAAAGAGAAGGTTCAGAGGACACTTTCCAACCTTTAATCTTTTGAAGTAACCCTTTTGAACAAACTGTCAAATAAATGACTTCATGCTTGATCCTGATTACATAGGTACGTTCACTACCACCTCTGTTCAGTATACTTAGGTCTGTAGTCAGCAATAGATCCATTATAACCTCTCCACTTTGGTTGATGTTACTGCTCCCCCAAATAGTGTGGTGTGCATTAGCATCCATACCTAGGATTAGTTCTAATTTTTCATTTTTGCAATAATTAAAGAGCATAGTTAGGTCCCTAACTTGGAGGTGACCTCATATGGTAAGTATCCTGAAGCTACTATAATACTTTTACCATCATTTAGTGTTACTTTAATAATAGTCAAGTCTGCACTTGATAGATTAAGTATCAGGCTGGCTTTAACTTTATTATTAACCAAAACACAAGTTCTTAATTTGTCTGATTGTTTATGGAACAGTTTAAAATTCCTTATATTTAGCCCCTTAATCTGGTCACCATTAATCCATGGTTCCTGAATAAGTGCTATTTGTAAGTTTGTTGTATGCCTCTCAGTTAGGGTCCTTAGTAGTACACTACTGGCCCTCTCACTGTGATGCAGATATATTTGCGTGAATTGAATTCTATTGTCCGCCATTCTGAGAACTGATGTTGACGCTTTAGAAAGCACTCTGTACTGGAAGTGATGCAGATGTCTGAAATAGTCCCTGTATCGCACAACCCTCCCTGTGGGTGGTGTCCCCCCCAACAGGTGGCTACCGTTCCTTAGGTATGTTCTCCGCATTTTCTTTTGGATCCGTGGAGTGATTTCCCTGACCTTGTTGTTGAGGATGGTGGTTTCCTGGGTCCTTTTCCTTACGTAACCCACTTTGTTCCTTCCCTTTCGAGGCAGTACTAAAGTGAGTCCGTTTACTTCTTACCTGTGCCTTGCTTCCTTTCGCGAGTGGCACTGGTGATTCTTCAGCCTTTCTCTTCCCAGATTTTTTCACATTCTTCTGGGCTGGTGACTGCTTGGCAACATAGTCCGCGAAGCAAACTCTGCCCATTCCAAAATATAAACTGCACTTTAGTTCCTCAAGTTGGACTATGCTCTTCTCGTCCACACTTTGGAACAAAATAAATCCTTTTGGGACAACCTTTGTTTCATGGTGGACTTTCCAGTTCGGCGTGTTCAGCCCAGAGTTCTGTTTTTCCAAAATGTTTTTGTATTTTTTTGGCAGCCCTGTTATATGAGTAACTATCCTTTTGTACTTGATCGGGTTGTAGGCTTCCATTTGGATTTCTGCACCATCTCAAGGTTTTATCAGGTTGACATGATCATTGAGCCACTTAAGTGAGCTCTCTTGGGCTGCACTGTTCATAAGTTCTCCATCATAAATCTGGTGCCTTCAAACCTTGGTACATCGGTTCCATCAGGACCTGACAGTATCAAGCCTCTAACACAAGATTCAATGAGTAGCCCCTGCTCTGTGGTCAACTTGTTAGTGGGGTACCTGCGAGGATCAGAGCCACTTTTTTATCATTAGTTACCACATCTCTATAGGTCCTTGTCCTCAGGTTTTTGAGCTTCGGTTCCCTTTGACTTTTTCAAGTCATAGGTTCCCTTGTCTCTCTTCTTTGTTAGGGTCTTTTGTCCCTCCATGATTGGTCGGTTCCTCTTCAGATTGCGCCTCTGACTGCCTCTCAGTTTACAGGTCTAAGATTTAGACCCGAGCAATTTTGTCAGCTACTGCTCTCATTTGATCTTGCGATTCCTGGTCTGCATTTGTTGACGTTGCTGTCTCTTTGCTAGTTGACGGTTCACCAAGTGTCCCGTTGTTCGCATTAAGACCTTCAAGTTTGGCGATTCTTCTGTGAAGAGTCGCCAGTTTACGTTCTT